ATTTAAACTTTGGGTTATGTAAGGGCTATAAATTTTAAGATGGTTTCTTCCAGGGATTTTGCAGGCAGATTTGAGTTTGTCCATGGTTAGCTGACACACTGTTCCAGCTCAGCTCACAGTGAACTCCAAACACTGCAGCCACAGCTCTGTGTGCCTTTAAAAATCAAAGCAAATACAGGCACTCTTCAAAACTCAAGGCAAGGTGATGCTGAAACTCCCTGTGCTCTCAAACCACAGTCTGTAGCTATGTGTGTATGTGAGTTATTCTACATTCTTACATGCAGGAGAGCTTTTTTCCCAAAATCTCTCTCCCTTCCCAAACCCACTGTTTAATCAATGCTTGATAAGCATGTTTTAAATTATGGTTTTCATCGACTTTCCCACGGAATTTAAGATAACCTCATTGTCACTGAGTATCCAATTGTATCCAAATGGCATTAACATATGGGACTGGGGCAGACTCCATAAATACCAGTGGCATAGAACAACACAGTGTTTTACATTGATGGGGCCCCAAGGCTCCTGCCTGCCTCCAAGTGATGAGCTCCTGGGCTGCCTTTGTGCCCAAAGCAATCTGAAAATACTCCTGCAGCACAGAATTGCTTGCAGTATTTTGTCCCATTGCTAGCCCACCCTTGTTCCAAATTAATCTGTGCCTAATTTGCTTCATGCAAATACAGGAGATAAATTGTTGATTCTACAATAGCTGGATTAGTCAAATGAAGACCATGTCTAGGTATCATGGAGTCCCCAGTTTGCTGTTCATGGGCTGAGAGGAAGAATGTTTCCAGAAGAAGACAATTATCTGTTGTTTTCTGATATCTGCTATTACATGTTGTGTTATTTGTGCACTTCAGGTCTCTTCACAGAGTCAAACAGCCAGAACTGGTGAGGAGGTTCATGCCTTGCTGTGTCATCTGCCTGATGCTGGATATTACCCCCACATTTATCCTCTGGCTTAGCTTCTAGGAAGAAGTTATATCCCACATATATACACAATCCCATTTGCCCTCAAGTAGTCCTTAATGTTGCCTTTCAGTTGTCAGGATGGCAAAACTGAGCCTTGCTCACCCATTTCTAGTGAGATACAGGTATATATCTATCACTGTCTTGGAATTAGGTTTGGAAAGACAGGCATCAGTTAGCTCCTTCCCAGGGATTACATGGATTAGTGTCTACAGAGGGCACCCTCTTCCATGGCATTTTTTTCCTCAAGCAGACATCTGATGCTATTTCTGTTTTCTTGGAGGCAATGAATGTTGCTTCTAGTGCATCATCAAGTGTCTTATTATTAAATAATTAGAAAAGGTTTTTTATAAGCATTTTGACTGTTAAGAGCCCCAATTGCTGTTGTTATTACTACCTTCTGGCAGTGCAGAGGAAGACACTGGTGAATCTTCCTTTGATCTTTGTTGAAACAAGCTGGAGAAAATGGGCAGATCTTTGGTCTCTAAATAATGATACTATCCATAAATAATAAATTTGTAGACAAAGGGCCCTTTGTAACTTCCTGCCCAAAGGTGTTCATCTTCACACATGGGCACAGTGCCTGTCCTGTGCTCCTCTCTTGTCACTGGTCCTACTTCTTGCATTTCTGATTGTGGTAGTTGTAATGGCATCCAAAAGGATACTCAGCCTTTGGGATGGGCTTGAGGGGTATCTTATAAGGGGTCTTTCTAATGTAAAAGTTTTTCTGGACAGAAATTTTGAGGGGCAAGAAAAAGAAATCGAGAAGTAACAAACAATGCCAGTTTTTGGAGATTTTCAGACTCTGAAAATGAGAGAAGGGAACTCTGACCAGAAGCTGCAAAACCCAGCAAGATATTAGTGATATCTTGGACTTCAGACCAAGGAGTCCAGAATACAGTGACCAAACAACCTGGCTAATAGTCAGAAGGGTCTGCCAGGCCTGCCAGACATTCAGAGGTCCTGGAGTTGTGGCTGTAGACAACTTGCCTTTCAGCTTTACAGTGCACACAGAGTGGGACCAGCACAAACAGGACCTGTCTGACCTGCTGAGGAGGTACTGCATGGTGCATCACTCTGTGCCCACCAAGGCTTGGTTTGGGTGTGATTGACCATCTGTGGCTATCCAGAAGCTGCTGGACTTGCTGTGCAAATCCATCCAGCAGTACTGGAGTTTAATTTCTCCTCTTTGTCTGTTCCATGCCCAAGATAACTCCCATGTGACAGCAAAGCTCCAAGATCAACTCAAAATTTCATCCTGATATCATTTCTGTTTGAAAAATGAAACTGCAGCACGAGTCAGCTCTCTGAGGTGCAAATCTAGAGTGGAGTCTGTCTGCTTGGACATCCATCTCACAGGACACTTCCCAAGGTAAGGACACATCATGGAAGCCCCAGTGAAGGTGTGTAGGTGGCAGGGAGAGGGGAACTGCAAACTCAGGGTGTGCGGGTGGTTGCCAGCACATCCTCCAGCCCCTCCTAAGGAGCTGCCCCTTCCAGCACGTGTCCCACCCCTGCTCCCCAGCTCTCCCAAGATCAGGCACACACAGGTTTGGAAATGCAGAACTCAGGGCATGCCCTATAATGAGTCCTTCTCCTGCCCTGCACTTCCTGAAGGACCAGGCTGATTCCTCCCAGGAAGGGTGCCTGGTGCTGCAGTCATTAGGGAAAGGAGAGGTGAGCACTCTCTCCCAGGATGATTGCAGAACCCTTGCACATTCAGTGAAGATTGCCCATCTCCACCGTGGGAGTCACAGAACCAAATCCTCCTTTGGGACAGCTGCCTTTTATCAATGACCTCAAGAGGGAAAAGAGATCTTTAACCTTCCCTTTGCTAGGAATGAAGGAGCTCTCAGAAATATTCTGTGGGTAAGCAAGGCCTTCTGTTCTCCTGTCTGTGCTCCTCCATCACTGTGGTGCTTGTGAGGGATTATTACAACACATATTTTTCTCTACACCAAGCAAGTTCCCAGCTCCAGGAGGCTGACAGGCCTTGTGCAACTTGTCATTACTCATCAGCACTCCCTATGCTCGTTTAGATCTCAGGGTGTGGTTTTAATGAGCTGATTTTGTAATAACACCCAGGTGACTTGGTGATGGATAGTCACCCTAGAAACCTATTAAGCAGGAGTGTGGTGGCTCCATGTCCTTAGACTACACTCTCAGATTGCTGTTTGCTTCTAGACATTGAGCTTGTGGGGTTGCCTTCTGCCTTTTCCCATAGCTTCCAAGCCTTTTGGTGGATAAATCCCACAGAAATGATCTGTAGATATTGTGGTTTAGCTTTCTTTTTTTTGTTAGAGTTGGGGTTAAAAGTTTGAGAGGCGGCATTTTTTTGTTTGGATTTAGATGTTTATCAATTCTTATTTATATTACAGTGAATTTTACAGTATTTTTAGCTAATAAGCTAAAAATGGTGATGTATTTTTTTTTCTGCAAGGCCTTTTAAGGCCAAACAGTTTAAGAATGGACACAAATTATTTTTACTTTTAAGAACTAATTACCTGTGGCTTGCAATGCAGAATTTTTTATTTAATTACAGAAGTACAACCTAGACCTATGAAGAAATAGGACAAAACTTTTGCCCTAAAACTTTTATTTTGCTTTTTATATTTTAAAACTTTAAATTCCAAGTTTTCTACCAAGTGATAATACACAATTCTATTCAAACTACACACACACGATTTCAGTTTTATTACTCGGTTCTGGAAGCCTTTTCCATGGCCTCAGGTCAAAAGCTGTATTTTCTTAGGGGTCAGTGCTTGTTAACACAGAAAGCCCAAAACTCTCAGTTGTCAGGGTTCCAACATGTAGATTCTTCACTGAAATGTGAAGAGAAGGTAGTAGAGAAAGAATCTGATAGTGCCTGGGCTGGGAGTCCTCTGCTTGTTTTAGAAAGTCCATGTGGCAAGGAACATGTGTGAATGCACTCCAGCTATGGGGAGAACAAGCATTGCTCACAACTCAGTTGCTAAATCTGAGCAAACCTTTAAGGAGCTGTTTTATTATCCCATAATATAATAAAAAATTATGTTTTTTCCTGATTTTTGCATGATTATGCATATTGGGTCAAACCACTGCATTATGGAACATAGAAAAAAGCCTTTACTAAATCCACACAACTGAGGATTTAACTTCCTTTGATGTGCAAATCTAGTTAATTTTTAATTTGATACAATTTTCATCTTTCAGGAAATTTATTTCCATTGCATACAGAACAGTTGTTGTCCCAAGCACATCCTGCCTCTGTATTTCCTTATCCTTCCTAGGCCTCTTAACTTGGAAGCTGTTTGGTTGGAATTTTTCTGGGCAGCTTTGCTGACACTTTGGTTTGGAAAGCACAAGTTGTGCCCAGCCTTGGAAATACCAATTGTTCTTTGCAAAGTCAAATCTATTTTTCACAGTGACCTTGCTTTGACCTTGTTAGCAGAATAGTGTGATCCCTAATTAGTCCATCTGTCAGCTGTCCAGGCTCACGTGATGGGACAGGAGCCTTGCTGGCAGATTGGAAACCAGCTGAAAGCACAAAGAATGATAAATGAGAAATGTCAGGGTTTGGACACTGGTAGCCATCTCTTGTTGGCATCAGATCTGGGTTTCACATTGTTCATGATCTGAAGGAAGGGTTAAAGGACATCCTAATGAAACTCCCACATCACCCACTTGCTCTAGCCTTGGGATGCAGTGGGTTTGTCTAGGTTGGAAATTGGGCTCTGGCATCAAGAATAAAGCTTTTGAGAAAGGCTTTTGATGAAGCAAGTCCCACCTATAACTGTGTGAGCACAGCAGACCCCAATTTAGTGGCTTCATTGCACACTCTGAGCAGGAATAGAGTGGGGGGTGGCTCTGCTGGTGACCTCCTGCTGTACCAGAGAGAGACCAAACTGGGGTTGTTGGTGCCTGCCAGGACCTACCAGCAGCAGCTGCCTTCCACTGCTCATTTTGTGCCCACGAGTCTTTGCTGACTAACTTTTAATCCTGATCCAGTGTTGCATGTCCATGGGATCACAGGAGTTTGTAACCACTGGGAAAAGGGGAGTGTGAAGCCTGCAAGCAGCCCTGTGGCAAGGTAGGTGTGTGTGTGTGTGGGAGCCTCACAAATCCAGCCCTCAGTGCTGGGCGTGGTGGGAAATGATTCATGCACCTATAGGTTTGTTAGCACCAGATGTGGCTGAAGGTGACCTTGGGAGCCAAGGAGAAGGGTGAAAGAGTGGGAACAGGGCACTTCTGAACACAGGCACCACGGCTTTAAAACCAAAAGTTGCATTTCCCTGCCCTTTCCTAAATCTGTTCCAGCAGAGCATTGTTGACATAAGAGGAAAAATCCCAGTGATGAGCTCTTCTGCAAATCCTGTCCCAAATGTTTTAGCTTGTCATGCCTCTAATTCATTTGCAAGAAGCTTGGACTAAAGTAAAATTTATTTTCGTGCTTATCTGCTCTGATATCAGAGTACCCCAAAACTCTGCTTGGTCTGGGGGCTTGTTCCTGGAAACAAGGCTGCTTTGCAAGAAAAAGGAGTTAATATCCAAGAATTTTGAGCCAAAAATCAGCTGCACAGTTCTCCTTGACCTCTTTGGAGTTGTGTGATACAACCCTTGTACTGATGACAGTGACAGACCACTTGAGGGAAAACTGCTTCCAGGAGGGGCTGCTTTGCAAATGCATTTTAATAGGGGGGAAAAAAAATCACCAATAAATAGTGGAAATGTGTTTGGTGGCAGGGTGGCTACTGTGGTGGTGCCATATCACCTGCAGTTTCCTAGTGACTAAAAATAGTGCTGCCCATTTTAGTTTTTCTGAGTGTTCTGAATGTTTTTTAAAATGCTGAGTGAGCATCTCTCTCAAAATCACGTCTTGTGCCTGAACTTAGGCAGCCAGGAAATGTGCAGGAATTTGCATTTGCAGGCTCCTGCCATGCCATTGGAAGGAACTAGGAGCAATTCCCAGAGAGTATGTGCAGCCTCTCCTGGGGAATGCCGTGGGCTGCTCAACAAAAGCTTTTTTTTACCATTTCTCAATTTTCAGTTTGTCTTACACCACTGCAGCATCATCCAGTGCACTATGTTGCCTAATGCTGGCAAGTGCTCAGGCAGCTGCTGCTCTACCTGTGAGGGAGGCAAGGCTTTATACTGATTATAGACTTTTAAATTTTACCTTCCTCGGTGCTGCAAGGGCATGTGAAGTTAGAATCATGGAATTGGTGAGGTTGGAAAAGACCTCAAAGTCCAAACATTGATGCAGCCACCACCATGTTCACCTCAGAACCAAATCCACGTCCCCAAATGCCACATCCACACTTATTTTTCAACTCTTCCAGGGATAGAGACTGGCACTGACTTCAAGGGACTAAATATTCTGCCCTGTCAGGTTTGATCCAACTCCCCTTGTATTTCACAGCCAAGCCAGGAGTGTTCATGAGCACACAGCTGCATTTTGTGGTCCTGCTATGTGGACCTGTCATTTTGGCCAAGAAACCAGTGAAATATGAATGGTGTGTGTGGCCATTTCTTCTCATCCTCCCCACTGTGTTAGGGCTGGAGAGAGCCCCCAGCACCCTCTGACTGACCCTGTGCAGCAGCTCCTCCACAGCAGTTCTCTCTGCTCATGGATCCCTGCCTTGCCTGTGGCACTCACAGCTGCCAGCCTGACACGTCAGGACCCATAAGGACGTGTCCTCCTGGCAAGAATGTTTCCAGAACTCTTGCAGATCATTCACTCATGGGCTTTATTCTGTCTTGCATCACCTGCCTCAGTTTTTATTTCTCATAAATAAGTGGGCACGCTTGGGAAGTACAAATGCATTCACTGCTACTGAAATAAAAACTCCTCTACTTGACAGAGCATCCCAAGGAAAGGTCTGTTTGTGAGTTCTGCTGTGTGGGGTGAGTCCTCCTGCCCTGGAAGCTGCAGTCCCTGCAGGGTGATGTGAGCCCTAGCCACGGTAGCTGTAGTACAGGGGATGAATCATGGCTCTAATCATTTACATTGGATAAAATCACAGTTCAGAGCTCTCCTGAGAGCCTCCATGGGCACAGCAACAGATACTGCTTTTCTTCTCAGTGATCTGCACCACTCCTCAGTGGGTTTGCCCTTCAGCCCAGAAGAGCCCTGGTTGTTCAACCAGAAGAATAAACCAACTAAGGATGTATTAGAAGAGGGAAGAATTTGGCCTTTCCTTCCTTTCCCCCTTGGCTATTTTCACATTGGCACACTGGGACGTGTTCCTGCTCTGGTCACTTTGTCCACAGCCTCCTGTGCCATCTGCAGGAATTATTAAGTAAAGGAATTAAAAAGCAGAAGAAGGTAATGGCTTAATAAAGTCCTCATCTTGTCTTCTGGAATGGGAATGCTGTGCTGTTTGGGGAGTTGAATGCAGGTGCTCTGAGAGCCAACTGACATTGAGTTATTCTGATTTTACAGTGGTGATCTCGAACAAATTATCCTTTGGGTACTTCCCAAGGGGAATGTTTGTTGACTCAGTTCACAAAGGAAGTAAGGATGTGCATTTGCTTGGGAAAATTATTATCCAAATCATAGTGCTCTTTTGAAACAGTTGTTTGACTGAATACCAAAAAAAAGCAATCAGACACTTGCCTTAGAAGACCTTGGCAAGGCAGTGAATGGTGAAATTATAAATTTCTTCTCTCTTACCCCCTCAGAGCAGAATTATCTTTATTTAGATTTCTTTTTTCAGTCCCAGAGAGGAAGTGGATGAAGTTTGCAAATCATGTTTGGGCCAAATGCAGTGAATCTGGCTGTGCCTCCTATGTGGAGCTGAATTAAAACAGTGTCCCAAGGAGCAGTGCTGGTTCTTAACTCCCAGACCCAAATGAGATCCCTTTCCTCCTTCCTAAGGATATTTAGTAGAGGAAAAAAAAATATAAAGGAATGTAGAGCTGGAAGGTTAGACATTTAGGTTTCTTTCCATTGCTATTAAAATTATACCAGGGAAGCCTTTTAAGTTAATTTTAGCTCCAGCTTCACTCCCACCATTGGAATGTCCAATCTATTTAGACTGAAGGTATGTGGGGCAGGGACTGCTCTGGATCTGTTGCTATTCCCACCTTTGCAGTGCTTTCTCACCAATGCAGAGAAGCTGTTTCACCAAGTACCACATCTCTCTCTTCCTCTCCCCTTTTCCTCTCAGTGCTTTCAGCAACCCTTGGATCAAAACTCCTTTGCTGCCACCTCCACTCCAGTCCCTGGGTGGAGTTTGGCAAGGACTCCTTCAAGATGCTTTTCATTTTTGAGGCCTGAAGTTAGTTTGTGGCTGAAATAAATGCCATGTACAGGAATGTTTTGGGATGTCTTTTGTGGAATATGCTGAGAACAGTGATGTCTTCCATTCCTTGCCAAGTGCTTCAGGGATGGTCTTGGTGTTACCAGACATCCAAGGGTGACCAGAGCTCTTCCAGCTGACCAATATCCATCAGACAAATCCATATTTCAGATTTATGTTGGTCCTTTTGTGCAAAGAGCAGTTCCCTGTGCTGACATTGCTTCCCTCTGTACCTGCCTTTTCTCTTTCATGTCTGGCTATTGAATTCAGGTACTGCTGGCTTGGGAAATTCAATGATTAGTTGAATAATGAGTATCCAAGCCACACTCCTGCTCTGAAATCTTGTGAAATCTGATCCATTCTCAGGGGATTTGGCACATTTCATGGGAATCAGTCAGTGAGAACCCCAAGACTGATTTGGAGGAAAGGGAAGATGCAGGAAGCCAGATCAGATTTTGGCTTATAAATATTTTCACCTCTTTCATTTAATTTACTTGGATGGAGAGGTCTAATTGACACATTCAGAAGTATTCAAACCCCCCTAATTCCAAATCAGCAGTGGCAGGAAGATGCATGCTGTGGCTGTGGATGCTTTCTTCCCAGCCATTCCTTGTGAACTCGGGGAAGTCAGACTGGCCTGGCAAGTGGCCTAACTCTGCTGCTGATGACACCTCTCCAGCAGAAGCAGTGTGTGGGCAGACAGGGAGTTTCATCATGGGGAGGAGGAGGCATGCATCACCTTTTGTTTAAGCAGAAGCATCTTTTTGGAATGCTATCCATTTTATCGGTTAGGGCTTGGACAGGGAGCATCCAGGAGAGGCTGGATATTGTAATTAACACAAGTGGAGGCAGGCTGCTGCATCTGCCTGCCCGCCCAGAGAGGAAGAACCTGTTGAATTTGCTAGGAGCTATTGCTGTAAGGACAAGAGCCACAGTTCCTGGGAGTACAGCAGCCACAAGTGGATGGAGTAGCTGCTTCAGAGCTATGCTGTGGGGAAGAAACAGAGGCCTGGATTTTGGACACTGGGTGCCCTTTGGGGTTAGAATCTCCACTTTTGCCTCCTAAGCACGGGGAGGAGGAGCAGCCCCCTCACTGTCGGTCGGGTGAGCCAAGGATGGCTGCACTCTCCCAGCACCTCAGGATCCTGCTCTGGAAGAACTGGCTGAGTGTCAAGAGGCAGCTGGTGAGTGTGGGGACAGAGGAGTGCAGGAGGGGGAACCTGGGAGGGAGCTGAGGAGCAGGGGGGCACTGCAGAGAGGAAGGTTGTGCTGTTGGAATGGGAGGGTGGTGGTAGAAGCAGAAATGGCACAGAAGTGAAAGTGAGTTTTGTGTGAAGCTCATGCATGAGGGCTCAGGAGTCCAGATTGAGTACCATGGATGGTGCCTCTCTGCTTCCCTCAGTACAATGTCTGTGCAAATAAACCATGCAAGACTGCAGTTCTGTACCTGCTGCCATGTGAGCACACCCTGTGGCTGGGGTACAGCCTCTGAGGAACCCCTGGGATTTGGGGGTGATGGGAATGCCCTTACACAGAGCCCTTTGTAAAGGATGGATATCAAATAAAGAAGCTCTGAGAGATGCAGGTAGGACAGATTTCCAGTGCAGTCCAGTGTGCTGCAAATCAAACACCCCAATGGTCTTTCTGCCCAAAAGATAAACCATTGCCAGCAATGTCCAGGGAGTGATCTGAACTGCAGCAGCATTGCATGGCCAGGCAGAGTAGTTTTGTCCCAGTCCACTTTTGGTACAGCTGTGTGTGGTATTTTCAGCAGAAGCCTGGGCAGTTCAGGGAGCTGCACCATAACCTGTGCTCCAGTAACCCAAACTTGCTGGGGTTTAAACTTGCCTTGGTGGAATGGAAACCTTGGCAGGCACAGGAAGTGCTGAGCAAAGAGAAATGTCCATGGAGGGTGTGATGTGAGGGTGAAGTGAAAGGCCTTGGATGAGTGTGTGCTTCTGCAAGGCCTGTTCCAGCTTACCCTGCCCTATCTCTGGGTTGTGGAGCCTGATTCAGAGAGGTGCTGAGTGCCTCTGACTCCTGTGGATATGCTTAGAGCATTCTTCACTGCTGTAAAATACTCTTTTCCTGAGGTGCAGAAGAATCCCAATAAATTACCTCTAATTCCTGAAGAGAAATTGTAACAGCCTCATTAAAAGCAGAAGGTTTGGGTCCCTTTTTAGCTCTTGTGTACCCAGAGTAAATGCCACCTAAGCCCTCCCTGTGCTTCTGACCACAGTCTGACTTGCTGTAATTCTGATTTCCTGTGGAGTTGAAATATCAACTCTGTAGAACTGAAATGTCAATTAAAATAAAAATCTAGCCACTGCTGACTATTTTATGGGATGCATGCCTTGCAACCCTCCTTAATTTCCCTCTCTTGCTCCAAATCAGGGAGCTTGCTCAGACTGAGGAGCGTGTGAGGAGGTAAACTCAGATCATTTTGGGAGCAAAGTAGGGCCTGAGTGCCAAAGAGAACTGGAGATATTGGTGCCTCTTGCATGTTGCATTTCATTATTTAAACAGAGGCAGGAGGAGGAGAGAAAATGTGCACTCACCCAGAGATCCTAAGTAAACTCTGAGAGACTAAATCAACTTTTAGCAGTGAAGTAATCCAGCAACTAAGGGATTATGCAACTTACATCACAGTTCTTACTGTCCCAAGAGTCAGATCCAGGTTGGTTGTGGTTTCATTCCAGTCAACATGTTCCACCTGCAAGCAGTTTGAGCAGGGTGGTTGCCTTGTTTTGCTTCACTAGAAATGCCTGGGACAGTGGCAATGCTGTGATGTTGCAACTGATGTGCCCAGCTACCATTAAATCCAATTAAGGCACAGCACAGAGATACTGAGAGAAGACATGTCTGGAAAGTGGGGAGTATAAGCACCATTGTAGCTCAAAATGGGGAGGGACAACAATTTTCCTGAGTAGGAGCAATCAGTATTCATTTATTGTCCCAGGAATGTGACAGATGTCCAGCCCTTCCTTTAGGCAGCTTCTGACTAATATCAGTTTCTGTGCTGTTACCCCATAATTTTACTTTAGCCTGTGTCGTGCTAAACAAGGAGGACACATTAATAATACCATTTGCATGAGAATTAATCACAGTTAAACTGTGTGTTTGGGGACTGATTATAGGGAAAGCATCTGATATAAAAAATTACTAAAATATGCCAGTGTCAGTGATGGATCTTGTTACAAGTTGGCAGTGTATACATAAAAAGCAGGAAGGGTACTGTCTGTCTAAGCTTAAATGTGACTGAATGCTGAAATTATAGGAGCATCTTCTGAAGGGGTGTGTGGGGAGGTGCCTCGTGGTTTGATGTCTGTCACTTGCCTATTTTGGGGCATGAATTTGCTCCTACTTTCAAGCCTGAGTCACCTCATCAGGGATGATAGGGACAGAGTTGCTGTAGAACAACCATCTTTAAGCTGAATTGCTCTCCAGGATTTGTTTGTCTGTCTCTTTGGCTTTATGTTCCAGTGAGTGTTACAGGAAATGAAAACACAGTTATGGGCTTGGAATTACTTTGGAAAAACAGCTTCGGGTAATATGTGCTGATCTGAAAAAAATAGCAACACAACAATGAAAAATGGGATTATTTTCAAGAAAGACATCTTTAGAGTTCCAAAAATGGGCATGAAGATAGAACAGCAATTTTGTAGCACAGAGTAGGTTCAGCTTAACTACTGATGGATGGAAAACTCTTAATCTAGTAAACACAGCAGCCAGGTAGCCAGCAAGTGCAAAAGCAGGGGATTATCTGAATAATTACAATTTCCTGGCTCACAAAAGTCCAGTTTGTATTTGAAGACTTTGGGCATCCTCCCTATATAGGTTTACTATACTAGATGGTTAATTCTAGTATTTTCTTAATTCTTGTTCATGAAAGGGGAAACCCTCATGTCAGAGACAGGTGTTCTATACATGTACATGTGTTTTTCAATACATTAGGGCAATATTACATGATTTCTTCTTGTATCCACATTAAGTTAGGTATATGGAAGAAATTCTTCCCTGTGAGGGTGGTGAGAGCCTGGCACAGATTTCCCAGAGAAGCTGTGGCTGCCCCTGGATCCCTGGCAGTGTCCAAGGCCAGGTTGGATGGGGCTTGGGGTACCCTGGGATAGTGGAAGGTGTCCCTGACCATGGCAGGGTGTGGGATGGGACTGGATCAGCTTTAAGGTCCTTTTAACCAAAACCATTGTGGGAATCATCTCAGCTTATGTGTATGGACTGCTAGAGCCTGGAGATGGAAAGGTGCCAGGGATTTGGGCTGCTGGGGTCAGAAACTCTTATAAGGGTTTTTTTCTTGATGATGAGTGTTCAGATGTGCATTCTGTAGGCTGGTTGCACAAATCCATAAACCCCTTCTTTTACCATGCTTGAGCTCCACATTTTGTGAATGACCACTGTGAAAATCTTTCCTTCCAGCTCTGCCATGAAGATCCACTGGTTGTGAAAAACAGCTAAAAAAAAAAAAAAAAACAACGGGGGAAAAATTGCTGTAGGCTTGTCAGCCACTTTAATTTTGAGGTCCTATTTACCTATCATTTCATTGAAAGTGAAACCAAGCTTTCACACTGCAGCTGCTTTATCTTTTGGTTGGTGCTTCCCAGCGTGCCTTTACTGTGACACAGCAGTGCCTCAAAGTTGGGTAAACACTGTCCCCCATAATTATCAGCCAAACTGAAACCTTGTGCTGCTTTCAACCTTGTTATTTGCTCTTAAAATCTCCGGTAGTTTTTCTTCCTGAATAGATAATGCTTGGATTTTAATTGTATGCGTGCCAAGATCAGTGTGATTTACAGTTCACCTTGTAACTCACTCAGGGCACTGCTTGTACATTCCAGCCAGGCTCTGGGTAACATCAATGCAACAAACATAACCGATATATTTTCATTGCTCTTTTATAGGTATGGTCGTTTGTTTTAATTTCCTGGCCTGTGGTTGTTTTCATAATCTTGGCCATTATCCGTCTCAAATTCCCTCCAGAACCACAGCAAAACTGTAAGTAACTGGTTTGTTTTTATGTCTGTGGGGTTTAGTTCTCATTTCAGTGACTGATGTGTTCATTTGATGTGTTTTGTTACTTTTACAAATTTGGCTCAGTGTAGATTTTAGTGGAGATTTCCTGGGATGCATCATGCTGTAAATAAAATGGGTGTGCTCCTCTGAGTTTGTTTTTGCTCACGGTTTGTTTTGTTTTGTTTTTTTCCAAATTAGCTTTATAATTAGAAAACAACCTTAAAGAACTGTCTCATCAAGGTTTATTCAGATACTGCTGTGTAGACAGCAATATAAATTTCCAGGATAAACTGAGAGGAAGAGGGCAGCTGGGGGAGAGCTTACTTATTAAAATGAGTGAGAGCAGAGGCTGCAAGTGTGATTATGGAGGGGAGGTGGCAAACATGAGATTGGTCAACGTGAAAGGTTTTACCTTGTGTATGCCACAGGCAAAATTAGCACATTAAAATAACGTGCACATCAAAGTATCTCACTGCTAAGGCTCAGTTGAAGAGTGATATCAGGGACCTGCTGGTGCAGGTGAGCCCCTTCTAATAAAAATAGCAGCTCCTTGGGTGGGTCAGTAATTGTTGGGGGTCAAATGGGTGAAAGTTTGCCCAAGTTGGTTCTCGCTTGCAAGCCTTGCTCCTTGGGTCAGGAAGTGTCCATCTCAGAGCAGGGATGCACTTGGGTCTGCTCTAAAGCACTGCTGCTGATCACTGAGTCCTTGCCACCATCAGAAGCATGTCCCAGCCCTGGGCACATTTCTTCATGAAGTTGTAGAGTAAAGCAGAGCAAGGAGTTCATCCAGTTGGGTGCTTTTTTATCTTTCACAGTGTTAGTTTTTGAGTTGA